GACGCCTGCGTGCCGAACTCTGTCTGCATCAACACCGTGGTGAGTCTGAAAAGCTGGAAATATATATAAATATATATATATAAACGGGCCAATGGGAGCAGGACTGCTGCCCCATGTGACCTGAGAAAGGAGAGGATACTGTGTGGGATCCATCTAAATGGAGGAACATCTGAGTGGGGAATTCTGTAGAAAACCACTGAGAAACCAGCTTTTTAGGGCTTTAGATGAAGGAAAATCAATGAAAAACACCTTTTTAGGTCTTTAGATGAGGGAAAATTACTTGAAAATCAGGTTTTTAAGACTTTAGATTAAGGAAAATTACTTAAAAATCAGATTTTAGGTATTTAGATGAAGGAAATCACTTAAAAATCAGCTTTTTAGGTCTTTAGATGAAGGAAAATTACTTGAAAATCAGGTTTTTAGGTCTTTAGATGAAAAAAAATAATTTAAAAATAATTTTTTTATGTCTTTAGATGAAGGAAAATTACTTGAAAATCAGCTTTTTAGTTGTTCAGATGAAGGAAAATCATTACAAATTTCTATTCAGCACTTTCAGCACTGTTTTTGGCCTTTTGAGCTCTTTTTTTGTGGTTCTTTGACCTTTTTTAGTCCTTTTTAATATCTAGTTTTAGATCTTTTACATGTATGTTCATGGTGTCATTCAGGTTCTGACCCCCTGGGGGAGGGTTATATTCTGTTTTTGGTCTTTTTAGCCAGATTTTTTTGTCTTTTTAGTATCTAGTTTTAGATCTTTTACATGTTCATGGTGTAATTCAGGTTCTGACCCCCTGGGGGGGTTCAGCTGCTGGATGGATGCTAACAGTTAGCTCTAGGCTAACAGAGTTAGCTTCTGGTTAACACTTAGCTCCAGGCTAACAGAGTTAGCTGCAGGTTAACACTTATCTCCAGGCTAACAGAGTTAGCTCCAGGTTAACAGAGTTAGCCCCAGGTTAACAGAGTTAGCCCCAGGCTAACACTTAGCTCCAGGCTAACAGAGTTAGCTCCAGGTTGACAGTTAGCTCCAGGCTAACAGAGTTAGCTCCAGGCTAACACTTAGCTCCATGCTAACAGAGTTAGCTCCTGGTTAACAGTTAGCTCCAGGCTAACACTTAGCTCCATGCTAACAGAGTTAGCTCCACGCTAACAGAGTAAGCTCCTCGTTAACACTTAGTTTCAGGCTAACACTTAGCTCCAGGCAAACAGAGTTAGCTCCAGGTTAACACTTAGCTCCAGGTTAGCAGAGTTAGCTCCAGGCTAACAGAGTTATCTCCAGGTTAACACTTAGGTCCAGGTTAGCAGAGTTAGCTCCAGGCTAACAGAGTTAGCTCCAGGTTAACACTTAGCTCCAGGTTAGCAGAGTTAGTTCTAGGCTTACAGAGTTAGCTCCAGGTTAACACTTAGCTCCAGGTTAGCAGAGTTACCTCCAGGCTAACAGAGTTAGCTCCAGGTTAACAGTTAGCTCCAAGTTAACACTCCAGCTTAACACTTAGCTCCATGCTAACAGAGTTAGTTCCAGGCTAAAGCAGCCGGGCTAAACTGGGTCTGTGAGCAGATCCAGACCGGGTTCTTTTGGGGTTAGAGCTCCCCCTGGTGGACGCTCTGCTGTGGTGCAGCTTTTAAAACGCGCGCCGTCTCTTTAAGGGTTCCTACAAATGCGGCGGCTGCAGACCCGGTTTCCTTGGCAACCAGACGGCGGGGTGCCTGCCCAGGAAGTCCTGCGCGGCGCTGACCTTTGACCCCTGCGACTCCAACGCCCACTGCTTCATGGAGCGCAACGGAGAGGTGTCCTGCAGGGTGGGTGTCCTCGAACGCCTCACGGGCCGGACCCGTTCTGAGGGTTCTACTGGTCCGGTTCTGAGGGTCCTGCTGTGTTCTGATTGGCCGTCTGTATCCTCCTGTGCTCTGATTGGCTGTGGTCTTTGTCCTGCTGTGCTCTGATTGGCTGTGTCCTGCTGTGCTCTGATTAGACGTCTCCATTCTCCCGTGCTCTGATTGGTTGTCTGTGTTTGCTGTTCTCTGATTGGCCGTCTATGTTTGCTGTGTTCTGATTGGCCGTGTGTGTCCTGCTGTGCTCTGATTGGCCGTCTGTTCCCTGATTGGTTCTCTGTGCTTTGCTGTACTCTGATTGGTTCTCTGTGTCTCCTGTACTCTGATTGGTTTTCTGTGTCCTGCTGTGCTCTGATTGGCTGGCTGTGCTCTGATTGGTTCTCTGAGTTTCCTGTGCTCTGATTGGCCGTCAATGTCCTGCTGTTCTCTGATTGGCCGGCTGTGTCCTGATTGGTTCTCTGTGTCCTAATGTGTTCTGATTGGCCGTCTGTGCTCTGATTGGCCGGCTGTGTTCTGACTGATTCTCTGTGTCTGCTATGTCCTGATTGGTTCTGTGTGTCCTCCTGTGCTCTGATTGGTTCTCTGTATCCTGCTGTGTTCTGATTGGGTGTCTCTCTGTCTTCCCGTGCTCTGATTGGCCGGCTGTGCTCTGATGGGTTCTCTCTGTCCTGCTGTGTTCTGATTGGCCGTCTCTATCCTCCCGTGCTCTGATTGGCCGGTGTGTGCTCTAATTGGTCGTCTGTGTCCTCCTGTGCTCTGATTGGTTTTCTGTGTCTCCTGTGCTCTGATTGGCTGGCTGTGCTCTGATTGGTTCTCTGTGACCTCCCGTGCTCTGATTGGCCGGTGTGTGCTCTAATTGGTCGTCTGTGTCCTCCTGTGCTCTGATTGGTTTTCTGTGTCTCCTGTGCTCTGATTGGCTGGCTGTGCTCTGATTGGCTGTCTCTATCCTCCTGTGCTCTGATTGGCCGGCTGTTTCCAGTGTAACGTGGGCTGGGCGGGGAACGGGAACACCTGTGGACCCGACACCGACATGGACGGATATCCGGACCGCCCGCTGCCCTGTATGGACAACCACAAGCACTGCAAGCAGGTCCAGACCACACTATATTATATATACATATATAAATATAAATATATATACATATATACTGTATTTAGATTATATTCTGCTATATTTAGATTATATTCTGCTGCTCAGAGAAGCCGTTTCAGCTCCTGAACTCCTGTTTCTGCTTCTGTCTGTCTGTCTTTATGCAGATTATTTCAGTTTTTTATGAAAAATCTAACACGTTTTCACTATTTCAGTGTAAAATGAGCTTATATTTTAAGAGGAATTACTAATAAAACTTCTGTCTGGAACATCTGCTGGAAAGAGCTCATTCAGGGGAAACCAGAGCTGCTAATGGAGAAAAGCAGGAATTCAGAGTTTAAATCTAAGATATTCAGATTTATTTAGATTTCTTTTAGTAATTTAGCAGATTACTGAATTAATTTGTGGGATTATTTCGGCTTCTTAAGAAAAACTGACATTTTTCCATCATTTTAGTGTAAAATCAGAGCTGCTTCTGGAGGAGAAAAGCAGATATTTAATACTTAAATTTTAGATATTCTGATTAATTTTAATTTATTTTAGTCATTTATCTGATTCACAGATTAATTTGTGTGACTATTTAAACTTTTTAAGAGAAACTGAGGTCTTTCCATCATTCAGGGGAAACCAGAGCTGGTTCTGGAGGAGAAAAGCAGAAATTCAGAGTTTACATTTAAGATGTTCTGGTCTATTTTTATTTATTTTAGCAATTTATCTGATTCCCAAATTCATTTTGTGGGATTATTTCATCTTCTGGTGTAAAAACTGAAGTCCTTCCATCATTTTAGTGTAAAATCAGAGCTGGTTCTGGAGGGAAAAACTAGAAATTACATGTTAAAATTTCCGATTTATTTGAATGTATTTGAGTTATTTAAATGATTCCTGAATTATTTGTGTGATTATTTCAGTTTCTTGTGTAAAAACCATTTGCCCTCCAGGATAACTGCGTCTACACGCCGAACTCGGGCCAGGAGGACGCCGACGGCGACGGGGTCGGAGACCAGTGCGACGAGGACGCCGACGGGGACGGGATCAAGAACGTGGAGGTGGGCAGAAAAGCAGAAATTCAGAACGTTCAGAGAACCCTAACCCTAACCCTAGATCTCCAATCTCCATTCAGGCGCCGTTTGGGTTCCGTTTGGGCGCCCAAACAGTAGAAAAGCAGAAATTCAGAGTTTAAATGACAGATATTCTGCTTTATTTTCATTTCTTTCAGTCATTTATCTGATTTCTGAATTAATCTGTGGGATTATTTTCATTTCTGGTGTAAAAACTGAGGTCTTTCCATCATTTTAGTGTAAAATCAGAGCTGATCTGGACGAAAAAAGCAGATATTTAATACTCAATTTTCAGATATTCTGATTTATTTTAATTTATTTGAGTCATTTATCTGATTTCTGAATTCATTTGTGGGATTTTTTCAGATTTTTGTGTAAAAACTGAGGTCTTTCCATCATTTTAGTGTGAAACCAGAGCTGATTCTGGAGGAAAAAAGCAGAAATTAAAACTTAAAATTTGAGATATTCTTATTTATTTAGATTTTTTTTAGTCATTTATCTGATTTCTGAATTAATTTCTGGGATTATTTCAGTTTTTTGTGTAAAAACTGACGTGTTTCCACAATTTTAGTGTAAAATCAGAGCTGATTCTGGAGGAGAAAAGCGGGAATTCAAAGTTAAAATTTGAGATATTCTTATTTATTTTGATTTCTTTCAGTCATTTATCTGATTCCCAAATGGATTTGTGGCATTATCTCAGCTTTTTGTGTAAAAGCTGACGTATTTCCATTATTTTAGTGTAAAATCAGAGCTGATCTGGACGAAAAAAGCAGATATTTTATACTTAATTTTCAGATATTGTTATTTATTTTAATTTATTTGAGTAATTTATCTGATTTCTGAATTAATTTGTGGGATTATTTCAGCTTGTTAAGAAAAACTGA